TTTTTTTTTTTTTTTGAGACATAGTCTCAAGCTGTCGCCCCCACAACCCCCGGCTATTTTACTTTTTGGTTCTAGTCGTCACTGGCAGGCCTGGGCTGGATTTGAACCTGCTATCTCCAGTGTATGGCTGGTGCACTAGCTGCTGAGCCCAACCCTATATTCTTACTCTCTATAGATAAAAGAAACAGAATTCACCCTCATCCTTGCTTCTACTGTGAGGTCCACAGCAGCCTGGAAGCCTCTGAGAAACACAGAATTGTAGTCCTCACCTAAGGCCCACAGAACTGCAACACACACTTTAACAAGATCCCCAGACGGTTCACATGAACATTATACCCAGGATTTCACTATCTACAAATCATTAATTCCTAAATCTCTCCCCTCTGGTCCAGTCCTTTCTGCTAAATGTCAGAAATAGGAGGGCAGTTAAAAGCACACACACTGCAGTCAGAATGTCTTCAAATCAGGCCAAATTCTCACTGGTTAGAACCTGCCTCATCAAGAAGTTCTCTATAAAGTGGGAGGAACACTAGCAACACGACAGACAGACCCTCCCCTGGCGGTCATGTCTTTGTGGAGGCTCCTCACCATGAGTATGCAGGAAGCAGAGTGCCATGGCTTGTTTTTAACCAGGGGAAGGAACTTGGCACAGGTGGAGGGACAACACTTGTGCAATCAAAGTACACAAGTTCTCAAGGCTGACCTTATGAAAAGATTCTTTTCCTCTTATGAGCCTTGAAGACATAGTGGCCATGCTTGAGCCACAGCAGTCATGAGGCAGGAACACATGAGTGCTGCCAATGACCAGGTGGCCCCCAAACTGGAGCCTTCCAAAGTGAGGCCTGACTCCTAACTCCCAGAAACAGATATAAATATGTGTTGTTCCAGCCCCTGAATGTATGATAATATTAACTGTTACACAGCAACAGATCACTAATCTCAGCTACTATATTTACCTGCTCTTCAGATACTCCCACCCAGATGTCCCAAAAGTAACTCAAACTATGTGCAAAGCGAACTCACTCTCCCTTTGTGTTCACTCCCCTTCTGGAAGCCCCTATCTCAGGAATGGCACAAGTCAGCCAAGTTAAGACACCGAGACACATGTGACCTCCAACCGAAGCCTTCATCTCAATCAATCAATTAATCAATCAAACTTCTCTCTTTGTTCAATTCCTCATTCCAAAAAAAGTCCTATGTTTACAAATAAAATATTCAATGAAGAATCCATTCTTGAGCCAGACACAGTGGCTGATCACAGCTCAGAACTATTGATCCCACCTGCCAGACAAGTGGGATCCGTCCCTCGTCTTCACCCTGGGGGCTTTCTACGACATTAATTCCGGAGTTCCCTGCTCCCTGCTTCACTTCCACGCAGCTGCCAAAGTCACCTCTTAAAAGGTAAACACAATCTCTTCACTCCACTGGATCCTCGAAAGTCCAAATGCTGACAGGATGGAGATCAAAAGTAGCAAGGAACACTCTCCAAAATCTGTCTGGCCTGCCTCTCCTTCCAATCACTGCCTTACCAGGCTGAAACACACTCCACCTCTTTGCTCCTGCTTCCTCTCTCCCTGCAGAATACCCTCCACATCTCAAGACTAACACTGAGACATCAACTCCTGCCCAACACTCCTCCTGGCCCCATCAGGCAGAAGTGACTTTTCTTTTTTTTTTTTTTTTT